CCCAGGCGCGAAACGCGGGAGCGGAAGGGCTGAGTGGGTGGCGAGCGGGCGGGCGCGCGAGGAAGCGAAGCCCAAAATGGCCGCAGCCGAGCACCCGGAAGCCGCCGGACCAGACTGAGGGCCCAGGGCGTCTACGTCGACCGCCCGGCGGCGCCCAACGTCATTTGCAGGGCCCCATCCCCCGGTCCCCCACCCCCCGAGGGGCGGACTTGCGTCACCCGCGTGCGTGGCCGCTGATTGGCTGCGCCCGCGGTCCCTCTCGGCCTCCTTACTCGGGGGTAGAGCGGGCTGGCACGCGGAAAGTTGCATCAGCCGGGCCCAGGCTGCGCGCAGGCGCGGTCAGTTAGCTCTGGTCTCCTAGGAGACCGCGCGCGCTCCACCCTCTGGGCTAAAGGGAAGGGCTCAGGGGGAGGTAGAAGTGGGTTCCTGCAGAACCTGGGGATTAATTCTCCTGAGCCCTGTCGGGTGGATCCGGTACATCAGGCCAAGTGTCAGTTATCTGATGCGTATATCGGCCATTCTCGTATTGCTAAGTGTCTAAGTAGACGCGAGTTAAGAGCTGGGTAGTGCCGGATAACCAGCATGTCCGGGGTTAAGACACAGAGCATCCGAAGAGAAAAGTAATAGTGAAAAACTCAAGTGAACGCTGGAATCATTCACGCATTCCTGTTCCCGCTGCTCTAGGATTTCCGAGTCCCTAGCGTTTCCTGCGGTCTAATCCGGACATCTTTCAGCGTCCAATAGACAAAACATATACCCAGCCCTCAGAAGGAAATCGTGGTGTCCTGGGCCAGCTGAAGTCTCCACGATTGTTTCTCATGCTTCTCAGCAACAGCGAATTCAATTCAATTCGTTCAGTAACAAAAACCATGCGGTATAACGCTCAATGAAGGGCACATCGGTGTCTTTTGTCCCGGGGGGGGGGGGGGGCAGGGGCTTGGCTGATAATTTTAATTGCCGTAATGGGGGAAGGGTTTTATTTTTTGAAACAGATTTTACTCTGTAGCCCAGGCTGGCCTCAAACTAACCGCAATCTTGCTGCCTCGCCTCCCAAGTGCTGATTCTCTCTCTGTGTGAGTTCTGTCTTAGTTCACTTTCTTTTTCTTTTCTTTTCTCCCTCTCCTCCCTCCCCCTCCCCCTTCCTGTCCTGGAATTGGCAGTCCAGCCCAGGTTGGCCTTGAAAACAGAGGTCCGCCTGCCTTTGCCTCCCCAGGGCGGGATCAAAGGTGTGCGCCACCACACCCGGCCTTTAGTTCACCTTCTTATTTCTTATCATTTTAATCAATAATGCAATGACAAAGTCAAGTAGCTCTCACAGAGGCAAGGGAGTAGTTAGAACTAAGACAGAAGATTGTTGGTCTGCGAAGGGAAGCCAGCAGATCCTCACGCTTTGTGGGGCCTGTTGAAGGAACAAGTTATTTCTTTCCCTTAAACCAAGAGTTTCTACTGTTTAGTCCCCAGCAATATCTTATTACTTATGTCTGGGAATATCTGGTTTCTTAATCCTAAAAACTTTAGGGAAATGTATTAGTACTATGATTCAGTTTTCATAGTAGAAAAGATATGCAAATTAATTCCTGGAAGCTTCAGTTCCTTTTGTGGAGAAGCTAAAACTGTCGTTTCTCTTTTAACCAGTGGGTGGGGGAGCTATGTTCGTAATACAGTGCCTGGCCAGATGGGGTAGGAACACAAACATTAGCTAATATTCTGCTGTTGTTCTCTTGACAATCCTCAATTGTTTCCCACTGCCTACAGAATAAAGGTTCTATTCAGCCCGAGCTCCGTCTCTTCTCCTGCATTGGGCTTCTCCTTCCTCCCCGTGTTTCATGGCCAGAGAAACCCTCACCTTTTCTTGTCCCATCCCTACTCACACTCCCAGTTTCAACTTGGAGGTCAATGTCTGAGAGCCGGGCATGGTGGCACACATCTTTAATTCCAGCAGAGGACGTCTGTGAGTTCGAGGCCAGCCTGGTCCACAAAGTAAGTTCTAGGACAGCTAGGGCTATACAAAGAAATAGAGGCCGATGTCTGCTCAAGGCCCGCACAGATCTTCCCGCTCAGAATCCACTGGTTCTTTTCATCGCTGGTATCATACCTCTTAACAGAAATTAACAGATTGCACCATCCCTTCCTGTAAATGTTCACTCCACTCCAAGCTATAACGAACTGTACCAACTTCTTCAACTTCCCAGTGACAAGAGGAACTGTTTTCTACAGAAAGTTCCCTTGAAGCCAGGCGGTGGTGGCGCACACCTTTAATCCCAGCACCCAGTACATAGCAAGTTATAGAAGACCCGTCTCTCAAAATAAGTATCTTTAAAAAGAAGAAGAGAAAAACAAATAAAAAATAAAATAATAAGACAAAATAGCTGCTGGAGGCTGGAGACAGCTCAATGCTTGAGAGCACTAGCTCTTATAGAGGCCCTGGATGACTTCCAGCATCTACAAGGTGGTTCCCAAGCGTCCCTAACTCCAGTTGCAGGGCATCCAGGCACACATGTAGTGGCATATACATGCTTGCAGGCAAAACACTCAGGTACATAAAACAAAATCTAAAAAACAACTTTTTAAAAATAAATAACAGAACACAGGACTGCAACTTGAGGCCAGAGCCCACAGCACGCATTAGGAAATGCCCCTGCACCTCTCTCTGGGACCAGAGTGAAGAAGCTGCCTTGCTGGGGGATGTCTTTCCCTACGCTGTGAATATATGTTGCTCCCATTGGCCAATAAATAAAGTTGTTTTGGCCTATGGCAAGGCAGCTTAGAGGCAGGTGGGAAATCCAAGCAGAGATACAGAGAAAAGAAGGGCGGAGTCAGGGAGATAAGAGCTGGCCGCCCGAGGAGCAACAAGATGCCAGCAGACTGGTAATGCCACGGCAAAACACAGATGAATAGAAATGGGTTAGTTAAAGATGAAAGAGCTAGCTAGCAAGAAGCCTGACATAGGCCATAGAATTGGTAATTAGTATAAGCCTCTGAGTGATTATTTTATAAGCAGCTGCGGAACCTCAGGACCGGGTAGGACACAGGGAAACTTCCAGTTACACTGTCTTTCCTGTAACCGAAACCGCTGATTTGGCTGCCACTGTGCTCTTTCAAGTACCTATTGTGCCCTATTGTGGGGTCTCTGCAAACGACTCAGCCAACAGAGTAATGATCCATGTGAGGCAAGAAGGAAATCCAGCTCAACACGACTAAATAGCCTGTGTTGTTGGCTCAAAGTTGTAGAGTCTTGACACTGGACACTTTATTTAGGCATATGTAAGTACAGCACAGTTTGGAAAAAAGTTTCCTGGTATAACACAATACCATGTGCACTAGGAGGCATAATTACAATGAAACTCTTCTCAAAATACATGCCACTTCTTTCATGAAGATGGGTTCTAGAGACAGGCTACATGTGTTATCTTAATGGTCTGGGGGAGGATCAGGTGTGGTCTCGGTCATGGTCATACAGATAGCACAAGGACCCCAGAGACTATTAGCCATCTTCATTTGGGGAAGAAAATAGGTTACACATCTCTTGCGTTGAAGTGGCAACCCTCTATGTTTAGCATTCCTGGTCTCCTTAGTGCTGTTTGTGGACACTAGGACCTTTGTGCTCCCAACAACCATATGCTGAACTAAATCACGTGACTGAAACTTCCCATCACCCCTAAAAGATTATTAAAAGCCAGACCGAGCCGGGCGGTGGTGGCGCACGCCTTTAGTCCCAGCACTCGGGAGGCAGAGCCAGGCGGATCTCTGTGAGTTCGAGGCCAGCCTGGGCTACCAAGTGAGCTCCAGGAAAGGCGCAAAGCTACACAGAGAAACCCTGTCTCGAAAAACCAAAAAAAAAAAAAAAAAAAAAAAGCCAGACCAGAGAGACTCCTCGAGGGGATTTGCTGGGGGGTGTGCTCCAAAGGCTGCTCTCTGAAGTTTCCTCAGCCTCCTCCGCCATCCTTCTCAATATAACTTTCCCTTTTCTTTCCTCCTCCTTTTGAAGATTTACTTCTTTTTTGGTTTTTCGAGACAGGGTTTCTCTGTGTAGCTTTGCGCCTTTCCTGGATCTCGCTCTGTAGTCCAGGCTGGCCTCGAATTCACTGAGATCCGCCTGCCTCTGCCTCCCGAGTGCTGGGATTCAAGGCGTGCGCCGCCACCGCCCAACCTTCTTTTTGTTTTATGTGAACCAGGGCTTGGCCTGCCTGCCTGTGCACCTCTTTCACACCTGGTGCCTGGGGAGGCCAAAAGAGGGCTTAGGATCTGTAAAACTAGAGATACAGATGATGGTTAGCTGCGATGTGGAAGCTGGGACTTGAACCGGGGTTTCCCTGAAGAGCACCAGTGCTCTTAACCAATGAGTCATCTCTCCAGCTCTCTCTCTCTCTCTCTCTCTCTCTCTCTCTCTCTCAATAAAGCTACTGTCCAAGTTAAAGGAAAGCCTCTCCTTCCCTTTAAGGCCCCATGATGTTTAGACCCTCCAGTTTTATGTCCTTTCTGATGCTCTTCCCTCCCAGTGACGGCCTGGAGGCACTTCATTCTCCTGCACCTCACAGAGAGGAGCTGCGGCAACTTCCTTCCCAGACTGCTGCTCCCGAAGCTCCTTTTATTACCATAGCCTAACACATGACCAAACCTCATACTCCAGCTGTAGCTTTTTCATTTAAATAAACCACATGCTCCTGAAATCAATTGTTTTAATTTTTTTTTAAAGTGAGGCTTGAAGATGTAGCTCAGTGGTAGAGCACTGGCCTAGGGCTTGACCCCCAGCATTGCAAAAGGAAATAATTAAAAACAAACACAACTTCCTTGAGTGGGCTTCCTAGTCCTTGTGCAGGGTTTTTTGTGTATTTTTTGTTCTGTTTTTTTTTTGGGGGGGGGCCACAGAAGGGGGGAATGAAGGGAGTTTTGAGATAGGGTTTCTCTGTATAACAGCCCTGGCTGTCCTTGTTTTGTAGACAAGATTGGCCTTGAATTTACAGAGAGATCTGACTGCCTCTGCCTCCCTAGCACTGGGATTAAAGGCGTGCACCACCATGCCCAGCTCCTTGTGCAGTTTTAATTGTGATTTTTTTATTATTCTTATCTTCGAAGTTGTTATCTGAGAACATGCAACCAGGGAACATTTAAAGCTATGAGACTCTGTGGTTTTTGCCTTGCATCTCAACTGTAAGAGAACAGTGAGTCAACCTTTCAGCCAGAGGGCAGAGGGCGGCTCTGTACACAGAGATAAGAAGTCACCTTGGCAGCCTGCTAGCTGCTGAAGACAAGAAGTCCTTGGACTGGCAGGCTGACTGGCATTTTGGCAGACGACAACAAAACCCTAGTTCATTATATTTACCTTTAAAGATGTTGCCAGGCCTCAGCTCAAAAGGTACACAGCTTTTGATTGTTTTTCCACTTCTTTCTTATTCCTCACACCCCCCACTGTTCTGGCTTCACACCCTGCCTTCCCAACTCACCTGTCCCTGATTTAGCTCTTTCAGTTTTGTTGCTGTTTGTTTGTTTGTTTGTTTGTTTGTTTGTTTTGAGAGAGTCTTGCTGTGTAGCCTAGGCAAGCTTTGGACTCATCAGTCTCCCTGCCTCAGCCTCCCGAGTGCTGGGATTCCCGATGTCAGGTGCTCTTCGCCTGCTTACCCTCTCAGAGACGGCAGCCACTGTCATCATCCCTTATTTGACTCTACGGTGACCCATCACCCCCAGTCATGAAGCCACCTTCCTCTAGTCAGACACGGCGCTCAGACCTGCAATCCCAGCACTTGAAAGGCTAAACCTGGAGGATTGCCCTGAGTCTGAGGCCATCCTAGGCTACATAGAGAGTTTCAGGTTTCCCCAGAGTAAAAGAAACTCGGTCTCAACCAAGCAGAACAACAACATCCTTCCCTTCCCTCGCCTCTCTCTCGCACCAGCATCCTCCTCTGGCAAACCCCAACCTCATTACACCCAACCACCCGCTCATCCTGTGCCTGCCATCTGCAGTGCAGCCTAGCCCGGGAAGTCAGTCCAGCATGCTGACTGCTTCCATTCACACCTGGCCACTAATCTCATCGAGGCTGGGTGCCCTACCCTCATCCCCTAGTCGTTCAGTTTTCCCCAGGCCTTGAGACAATTTCACAATGCTCCCCCTTCAAGTTCCCAGCCTTCCCGTAAATTAAGCCCACTCTTAGCTTAAAATCCCACCTCATGCTGTGAGAGCCAAAGTTACATTTTAAGTTTTAGTTACTATGCCTAAGATTCATGAAACAAAAGCCGCCTCTGATCTGCAAGCCCCTTGCCCAAGGACACATGGTTCCTGAAATGCTGGAGGCTGTTGTCTATAGGAGATAACAAGCCACATGTTTTCACTCCCCCAAACAAGTTTGTTTGACCCCATGTGCACCGGATGTGATTGATCACATGTAGGGTTCACAGGCAGGAAATACGTCAGGATGTGTGCTTGCCCCTGATTGGACCTGAGGGGAAATACTTAAGTCACTGCAAACAGCACACACAACCACTTGGAGCCATTTTCTAGAAACACATCGATGGGCCTGGCTGGAGTCCATCCACCTGGACAGTATTTAATTAAACCTCGCTTCAAAGTTGGCTTTGAATTGTGCTAGTGGTCTTATTTTCTAGCAGTGGGCTTAACCATACTTCACTGAGAAAACAAAAACTCACTTCATTTTGTCCCCTGCCCAATCCACCTGTAGCCGGACTCTCGTTCAGAACCTTTAATCTCATTGCACAGCCAAGAAGCCTCCAAGACCCTAGCCCTCGGCTTCTCTTCAGGACCCTGGGCCGTGTTTTCATTTCTCTGTAACACACACACACGGTTGTCTCTCAGTAATAAATTATTTAACCTAGCGTACTTTAATGTAAACTATGTTTTAAAACCCTCCTAGATAGATTCTCCTCCAACTTTATTCATTTTATTTTAGGAGTATGAATGTTTTACCTGCTTGTATACACTGTGTACCACATGCATGGAATGCCTGAGGGGGCCAGAAGGGGGAGCCACATCCCCTGGTAATGAAGTTACAAATGGTAATGAGCTGTCAGGGAAGCTTAGGTGCTGGGATTGGAACCACGGTACCCTGGAAGAATAGTGAGTGCTCTTAACCACTGAGCCTTTTCTCCCCTTCCCTCCAAGTTTTTACCAACGCTAGATATCCCAAGAGTTGCTTATGTTCATTATCTCTATCCTCTCTCTCCTTCTCTCCTCTCCTCTCC